CCTGAAAAACGCTCTCTTGCAGTCCCATAATTGCAATGGGGTCGGTCTTACTACTACTACTACTACTACTACTACTACTAATAATAATAATAATAATAATAATAATAATAATAATAATAATAATAATAATACCATAGTTATCCATTGTTATTATTATTATTATTATTATTATTATTATTATTATTTAGGGATAATTTTAGTATTTTTTTCTATTTCAATATTAAATATCACACTGATTCTTCCGTCTTTATGAGTCACTGTTAATCCCCATTCGAATGGGGGTGGACACAGAGAAATTGGAGTTGAGGAGTTATTGAAGATGCCCTTCCTAACTCCCCGATGTGAGCTTGTACACTATACTGTCACTTCCCAAGTAGAGCGCTCCAACCACTTTAACTCTATAACAAATGCTATTATAATAATAGGTTTTATATCATTTAGTCTCAACATCATCCAATCTGGAAGCCAAGACAAAACAACCAAAAACACCATTTGTAAAAATATAGTATTATAATACGAATTTACTTCTACATTCAGCAATACACAAGAAAACAATATGTAAAAAAAAAAAAAATGACTTCTTCCGTGCAGTTTCAGCTCTTAATTTTCACTATGCCGCGACTTTTTTTTTTTTTTTGTGCCTTTTAACTTATTTCCTTACCAAAAGAATGTTTTTAAGTTTTATATATATTCCTATTACAACATTTTCAAAATGTTGGAAACTCCTCTTTATAACCACGGATAGCATAGTTATTATTATTTAACTGTATATTCTTCCCGCAATGAGTCAAAGTATTTTGCTTTGACTCAGCCACCCATTTGGAAGGGGGAGTATGTCTCCTGTATATAGATAATACTTATAATTATCACAAAATATAAATAGTATATTTTTCCATTAATATTTTTCAGCTACTGTCACACTCTTTCCAGCAATATTAACTTTCATTTTTAACCAATTATATTTTTTTTCTAGCGAAACTTTTCCTTCTCTATGTCAGTAATTATCTTATTCTCGCTATTTCCCGTTTTCTTTCATTTAAAAATGTATCCTATATTTCCACCTAATACCCATTCAATTCTTTCTTCATGTTTGTATTTCTCTTAACTCTCCTTCTTTTCATAAATGTTCAGCCTTTTTCTTATTATTGCCAGCCATTTTTATCATGTTTCCTCATTTTCCCGTAGCAATACCAACGTCAATACTTTCCTTATTCTTATTTCCCGCCATTTTTGAGACTATTTCCCGCCATATTCCTACTTATTTTTCAGCCACTTTTATGACGCCATCAAATAACACCCACCAAGAGTAGAAAAGCGTTCGCAAATGCGGCTTAAGAGAGTCTTCAAAGAAGCTTTAATTTGGTTAATGACACCCACCATAAGTCAGTAATGGCCGTGGGTTTAACCAGGAGGAATTGCTAAAAAGGGTAGACACTCTGGATGCTAATGGCGTCTGACATACCACAAACTAGCTTTTATTTTTTTCTTGGGGGGATTAGGATAGCAGGGCTTCATCTGGAGATAAAAAAAAATAAGATCAGTTAAAGATTAGAGACCCAAAGTACAATGAATAATTCCGCAAATTGTCAGGTTAGGTTTAGTTACTCTAGGTTAATGTATAACCTAACCTATACTAGCTAACCTAACCTAAAAATTGATGGGGTTATTTAATGTACTTGAGGTCATTTATCTTTACCTGATTAAAAACCGGCATATTCATTCTTTTCTCTCTTCAGTTACTTATTCTTGACTTCTAACAATACAGGCAAAAAATCAGCCGCGGCAGCCCTGTGGTAAAGCGGGCGAGTCGGAAAATGACAAACCTGATCAAAGCTGGGTCGATCCCGCAGCGGGGCGTTAGCCATGACATCCATCCTTAATCCCCTAGTTCGAAAATGTCTGCGTCAACTCCCCATCTTTTAATTTTCTTGGATTTACTTTTTTTTTTAGCTTTTTTATCTACTTCCATACCTACTCCTATTTCTTCTCTGTCATCAGTCTCCTCCTCCACCTCATTAGTAGCAGTAGTAGTAGTAGTAGTAGTAGTAGTAGTAGTAGTTTGCCAGAAGTTGCACTGCTGAGCAACATCAAACAGGGTTACCATTAGAATATAGGGGATCCTTTATCCAAGCTATGCACAGCACTCAGCAACAGGCTTTAAGGTCTACAAATAATATCTTTCTTCTCACTTTCCTATACTCTGCGTCTTCCTTCTCTTTTTCTTCTTCCTTTTCTCGTTTCTTTCTCTTGGTTTCTTGGTCCTTTCTGTTTCGTCCGGACAGAGTAAGAAAGACAATAGTGAACTATGGTGGGTTTATACGGTCAAACGGTTCGTCGAACGCGGTTCGACAGACAAGTGATTGAAGTGATATTCGAACGTGTGAACGGGGTATTTGGTTGTCGAACACATTTGTCAAACGTGTTCGACAACCAAATACCCCGTTCACACGTTCGAACATCACTTCAATCACTTGTCTGTCGAACCGCGTTCGACGAACCGTTTGACCGTGTAAACCCCCCTTAAGGGAAGCAGAGGAAGCTCACCTCCTCACTTGGATGAAATCCACCCCACCCCCCCAAACATTGTAGGTACTAACATAAAATCCCCGGATTCTGGGTTCGTGTGACTCCGCATTCATCCCCGTCAATTTCTTAATTATGTTGATGGATTATACTGTCACTATACGACGTTCTAAAATCTTACATAATTCACCATTTCAACACATTAAAGAATAATTAGGGATGGGTTCGCCTAAAGTACATTATCTAGATTTATACACAGTCGTTTATCATGTTACCTTGGATGGTCTGTGTGTGTGTGCTGTGTGCGTATGTTTGAGCGCGTGTGCGCATGTGTGGGCGTGTGTGTGTACACACGCGAGTGTGTGTTAATGTGTATGTGCGCTTGTGTGTGCCCGCGCGGGCGGTATATACAATAATAATAATAATAGTAATAATAATAGTAATAATAATAATAATAATAATAATAATAATAATAATAATAATAATAATAATAATAATTATAATAATAATAATAATAATAATAATAATAATAATAATAATAATAATAACAACAGCAATAATAAAAATAATCAACTTAGATTATCATGCCAGCCCCAATATCATGCTTGGGTACACACGACAATTATATATAAGATAAGAAATCTTCTTAAGAATATAAGACTATAATTTTAAATACAACAACATTGCTAAGTTCCAGACGACAAACAGTGAAAACGTACGAAAATATATGAACATTAAATTCATTTTGAACAGTTTTTAGTTGTAAGCTGAAAATGAACGAAAATGGTACAAAAAAAAAAAAAATCAAAAACTTCGTTACTAAGTTTTCAAACAATATAATTGCAAACAAACAAACAACCAATTAATCAAAATAATAATGAATAAATAAGTAAATACTATGAAAACAGACGAATCAATATCCAAGTTAAAATGTTTGTATTAAGCCAAAACGTATTAAAAAGACGAGAATAATATAGAGAAACTGCATGTACAAACCGAGGAGATATATAAACACGAAAATGAAGCGAATAACTGTGTAAATAAATAAATAAATAAATAAATAAATATATAAATACAAATAGACATCGTTCCTGTCTCCCTTAAGGGCGGTTTACACAGTCAAACGGTTCGTCGAATGCGGTCCGACAGACAAGTGCTTGAAGTGATGTTCGAACGTGTGAACGGGGTATTTGGTTGTCGAACACGTTCCGTGTTCGACAACCAAATACCCCGTTCACACGTTCGAACATCACTTCAAACACTTGCCTGTCGAACCGCGTTCGACGAACCGCTTGACCGTGTAAACCCCCCTTAATACTGCTTCCAAGAAGAGAGATTTGTCTATTTTTTTAAAAAGGTAAAACTGTACACTGGATTAAGGGACTAGGCGTTACTATGGGGTTCATCACGAAAAACATGTCTTTTTTTTTTTTTTTGCAGTGGAGACGAATGCTTAAGAATTAACAACTGATATCGCTATTAACTCCCTCAGAAGGGAACAGAAGGCAATAATAATGCTTACATGAAGAGAACTCTCTATGTTTTTTTTAAGTGAGATAAAATCGTGGACTGGATGAAACAACTTAGGGTTCATCATGGAAAACATGTCTTTTTCGCAATGGAGTTTAGAGCTTACCTTGCGGGACGCCTTTACATCTTACCCTAGTGATTCTCAAAGTTCCAGGTCTTATTCCTCCCCTGATATCCAAGGTTTCCTCAATTTCTTCTCTTGAAGACTAAGTCTTTTCGCAACGAAGCTAAGACTCTAAGACTTTTCCTGGCGGGATGCCTTTGCATCTAACCTAGTGGTTTCCAGAGTCCATTGCGATGCCGTGTTTCCTAAAGTTTTCTTCTTGAAAGACTAAGTCTTTTTGAAATGAAGCTAAAAGCTTACCATTGAGGGATGTATCTGTGGCTACCCAGTGATTTTTTTTCTTTTGAAAGAATAAGTTTTTTGCAAAGGAACTGAGAACTTCTTTACTTGCTGCGTCTACATCTACCCTATAGGATTCTCTGAGTCACCAGGTCTCATTCCTCCCTCGCGATCCTAAACTTACTTCATTCCACTCAGATTATCAATCGTGATCTAGTCAGCTTTTGAAACCTCTAATATCGCATTGCATTCTGTACATTTTATTCTTGCTTATCCTCTCCAAACTACAATCCCTCTCTCCTGATCGGCTAATATTTTCCCCCTAGGTGCCAAGTGCCACAGTTGAGAATCACTGCTCTCTGACCATTAAAAAGAGCCAAGGTATACACACCCGTTTTCACTGTGACATTTTGGAATGCAAACACTCCCTTCTTATCCATTTTTATGGCTAACACTGATATATGTTTACATGTAGATGCTTAAATATATAAGAATTTTTCTATGTAGTAAATGAATTCTAATTATCTTTTTTTAAATTTAAAATTTTGGAATACATAAATACATACAGGCATACATACACTGGTAATGATAACTATGATGAGGA